TGCTGTCCCCCCCCGGGGGGGGGGGGTAATTTCTCTCTTTCTACCTCTCTGTCTCTCCAGTGAGTACACACATCCTATAGCAAAAATCTCTCACCAAAATAAGTAAGTAAATAAATAACTGAAGGCTAGAGAGTGAGGCCTAGGTTGCTACCAGAGCCCATGGGAGGAAGTGATGAGACTTCAGATAAAGACCAATGAGGCTGAGAAACACTTGAAAGGAAACTGGGCGAGGTGACAAACTAGGAGCTATTCTAGTGTGCAATCTGGGAAGAGGGCAGAATTAAAAGGCTAATCGGCAAGCAGATGACATGGTGGTTACCTGGCTGGACTCCCACAGGGCTGACCAAGGGCTGCGGCAGCTCAAGTCCCAGACCTAGTAGCTTGAAACTCAGGCCTGGCTCATGTGCATGGGTGTTCAGGATCCCTAGAAGAGAATGGAGAAGTGATTGCTGTGTGGCCATCCCCCTGGGGGGTCATTTCTCACTTTCCCTCTCACAGTCTGTCTTCAGCTCCCCTCCACTCCCCCTCCCCACACGAGGACACGTGCCCTAAGGCAGAAGTTTTTGCTATAGGGTGCGTGTGCTCGCCAGAGAGACAGAGAGAGAGACAGAGAGACAGAAAGTGAGAAATCATCCCCCAGGGGGGATGGTCACGCAGCAATCCCTTCTCCTCCATTCTCCTCTCGGGATCTTGGGCACGCACGCACACGCGCCCAGCGTGAGTTCTAAGCCACCGGGTCCGGGACGCGAACTGCGGTCGACTACGTGGGAGTCCAGCGACATTGCCATTACGCTAACTGCTGGTACCCACCCCCCCAAAAAAAAAAACTCTTAAAAAAATAATTAAAAGGCTGTTAAGAGTTGCATATTATGGGAACCAGCAGTTAGCGTAATGGCAATGTCGCTGGACTCCCACGTAGTCGACCGCAGTTCGCGTCCCGGACCCGGTGGCTTAGAACTCACGCTGGGCGCGTGTGCGTGCGTGCCCAAGATCCTGAGAGGAGAATGGAGGAGAAGGGATTGCGGCGTGACCATCCCCCCGGGGGGTGATTTCTCGCTTTCTGTCTCTATGTCTCTCTCTGTCTGGTGAGCGCACGCGCCCTATAGCAAAAACCTCTCAAAAAAAAAGAATTGCATATTAGGGACTAGCAGTTGGTGTAATGGCTATGTCGCTGGACTCCCATGTAGTCAGTCCACCACAATTCAAGTCTCAGACATGGTGACTTAAACTCAAGCTGGGTGCATGTGAGTGCATGCCCAAGATCCCAAGAGGAGAATGGAGGACAGGGGATTGGGTCATGGCCATCCCCCCTTGGGTGTGATTTCTCGCTGTCTGTCTCTGTCTTTCTGGCGAGTTCATGAGCCCTATAGCAAAAATCTCTCCAAAAAACGTTGCATATTAGAGTTTGGAGATCAGGTTTTAACATCAAAGGGGAACTGTCCTATGGCAGTCAATGACATAATTCAAAACAATCACACAACTTGGATTTTTACTTTTTAAGGTCACTTGCTTTACTTCATTGCAACTGCACATTACTATAAAGTCGTATTTCTAGTACTTTACAGTTCTTTAAAGTCAAGCTACGGAGGCCCAGAGAAATTAAGCGACATGCCCAGGATTATAAAACAGGCAAGAGGTCACTGGTTGATTTCTTTCAAAATACTGCCTTTGTGGTATAGATGGGGTGTGAGGATTGGGTTCCTGTCCCTAAAGTGATGAGTGAATGTTTGGGAGCCATCTGCAGAATTAAGGCGTGGATTTCTTCTCTGAGGATGCAGATGAATCTTCCCAGCATTGTTTGCCTCTGAATGCTTCTCTAATATCTTTTCTCTTTGTGCTTCCTCCCCCCTGCCCCGCGAAAAGTTTCTCAGACCAGGTGCCCTGGGGCACCTCTGCGTTAGAACTACATTTCCCACAATGCCTCGGGGGTATTGGCGCTCGGGAACTACACTGTCCTAAATCCCGAGAGGTTAAAGAAGCTGATTCGCTTCGACCAGATTTCAAAGACCATGTTACCCACGCTACAAATCAGATACAGTCACTGATTTCCCCTTTCCTGCCAGAGACTTCCGTCCCCAGCTCGAACTTCCGATACCATTCTCTCAGTGGGAAAGTTGAAGAACGCAAAGAGGGCAAAGCGCATGCGCTCACAGCCCCAGCCGGCTTGGGTGTGAGGGTGGCCCGCCGGTCTCCGCGCTAATCCCGCCTTGCGCATGCGCAGATGCTAAACCAACGCCCCGGAGTTGAGGCGCGGGTTTGGTGGCGCGTTTTAGCGAAGTCGCACGTGAAGGATAGCGGTGACCGGAGTCCGGTGAGTGCGGGCCGAGACTGGAACTAGGGAGGGGTGCACGCGAGATGGGGAGGCGGCAGGCGCTGCAGGCGGGGCCAGGTTGGAAGTACGAGGCCTGGAGGGTCCAAGTGGTCTGGGGAGGGGTCTGAGTAGTTTGGCAGTCGGAGCAAACTGGAGGCCGGGATCCTCGTTGCTATGCAACTGGGGGCGTCGTTGCTACGTAACCCGGGAGGCGCGTGTTTCCGGGGAGAAGTGGGTTCGAGCGCAGCTGCAAGGTCCAGTGGAGGCAGAGCAGCAGCCAGACGGGGTACGAAGCCAACTTTGTGCCTCACACGCCAGTCCCTCGTCCCATGACCCAGCATCCTGCAGCCTCAGTTCGAGCCCCTTGGGGTACCCTGAAGTCATGGGCCGCACCACGTCTCTTGCCAACGACGCCACCTTGCAGCGCTTGGCAGGGAACAGTGCTGTTCGAAATAGCACATGCCACTGACACCCTGTCTCCGGGAGGCTGGGCCCTGAGCAGGGCGCGGCGCTGCTGGGAAACTGCCCCTTGCTGTCACCCTGCCCCAAACAGTTGCTGGGCAGCAGCTGTCAGAGGTTTAGCGGGTGCTGCCCCCGACCTGCCAGGACGCTGACTTCATTCTCCTCAGTGGAGGCTTAGCCCTGTTTAGGAGCTTCCTTTTGACTCAGCTGCACTTCTCGGGTAGCTGCTGTATATTTGGATCAACTATTAAAGTAACATCTCCCCACCTCTCCGTGTCTCTCCATTTCTGCCCTCTTGGCTTTTTGGCAGACCGCTCAGTATTCATTTAAGAAGCATTTTAGTCATCCTGTGCTAGGTGCTGGGAATTCCAAGAAAAGTTAGATGCGAAGTCTGACCCGGATGCTCAGTCTAATAGGGGAGGTGGGGGATAAATTGCTACAGTATGCTACAATGTAGTGAGTAGTATACCGACAATTTGTGAGCTGCAACATTTCTATAGATGTTTACAAAGTGCTTGCAGAAACATCTTAACTTCCTTGCAACAACTCTTAAACCAGTTCACCAGGATTTCTGTTGGAGACTGAAGTTCAGATTAAGTAACAGGCATAAAGGTAGTGACTTCGTTTGTGGCAGATTTGAGCCTGGGACAGAAGTCTAGGGTTCTTTGTACACTTCTGCACTTTGGGGGCTTTGTCTAAAGTAGTCCCCCCTGCTGAGCATTTGTGGCAACTGTCTTATTATGTATCAGAAATCCCTGGGGAGCTTTCAAAACAAAAGACCGAAGACCCTCTCTGGGAGTGTCTGACCAGCAGCCTTGGGTGGAACATGTGTTCTTGTTTAACAAGCTGCTCAGGCAGTTGTGATGGGCAGTGAACATTGCAAACCTCTGCTCCCTAGGGACAGGTATGAGCAGCAATGGGACAATCAGAGCCAGCAGAGGGCACTAAGTCATCTGCCCCTCCTGTCACATAGTGAGTCATAGCATGAAAGGAAATTAACCAAAAGAAAGAGAAGAGGAGGAAGAAGCCTTGAAGGGGGGAGGTGTAGTTAGCAGCCCCACCCTACCCTTGTAACCAAGCCCTACCCACGTGGGTTCTCCTGGCCCTGCCTAAGCCATACTGCAGCTGTCTGAACAGCAGTGGCTGGTCTTGTTCCTATCATGACCTGTAAACCCTGCAGGTAAGCTGTATGTGGTCTTGTTGGTGTCTGGGTATGAGCGTATTGATATTTGAAGAACTTCAAGGTCTTTGAGGACAAGGACCTTGTCTCACCCAGGCAGCAATGGAATAAGGAACAAGCAAAAGGTCAAGATTGAGATCCTATGTTCTGGGGTCAAGTCCTAGTTCTATGTATGATCTTGGATAAATCACTTGACCTCATAAAAGCTATATTTTATGAGTAAAATGGGGAGAGTAATAGTGTCTTAAAAGATTGTCGTGGGCCATTTCTGTGGTGTAGCAGTAATGCTCACTGCTCAAGAGAAGCTGGATCCCACATGGCAACCAGGGTTCAAATCTCTGACCACGTCTCCCTGAAACATGGCCTCCAGACATGCGCACAGGTGCTCTAGATCTCATGGACTGGAGGACGGAAAAAAGGGTGGCGTGATCATCCCGGTGTAGAATGCTCCTCTGTCTCACGCTCGTGTGTACCTTTGTGCACTTTATCATAAATGGGAATAAAACCATTTTTGTAAGAGTTAGATGAGAGGTACCAGCAGATGGTGTAGCGGTTACATCATTGGACTCCCATGTAGTTGACCATGGTGTGAGTCCCAGACCTGGCAGCTTAAAATTTACGCTGGGCACGCCCGAGAGAAGAATGGAGGAGAAGGGGGATGCCATGTGGCCATCCCCCAGTGTGTGTGGGGAGGGGTGATCTCTCGCTTTCTGTCTCTGTCTCTCTAGTGAGCGCACATGACCAATAACAAACATTTCTCTAAGAGAAAAAAGTAGAGTTAAATGAGATTGTGGAAGTAACAAGCACTTTGGAAATGATAAAGCACCACACAAAAACCATTATCATTTGTATACATAGACCATTTTATTATTACTTGTTGTTGTTGTTGCATGCCTGCTGTTTGCCCAAGACCAGGCTTAGCAAGAAGCGAAAAGTGTCAAACATGCTGCTTCCTCTCAGAGGTCAAGACTACCCCGTTATTAAAAGCATTAGGCTGGAGAGAGGCAGCACCATGGCAGTGGGTCAGATTCCCGCCGCCTGGGATTAACCTGGAAGAAACGAGAAGGAATCCTGTTGATACCATTGGAAGAAAACAGACCAGCCAGTCATCCACAGTCATTATCTTCAAACGGTGCACTCCAGAATCCTGTTCGATTTGGCTTCCTGTTCCTTCACAGGGTCAGCTGGCAGAGCAATGCTGGCCTGACTGTGTGTGGGGGGGGTGGGTATCTCAAGGTCTCCCAGCTCCCCTGTACTGGAGCAGATGGCCACTTGAAAGGTGAGGCCGGCAGAAAACATCACAGGCTGCGGCAGGACAAGCAGCTCACATCACCCTGACCTTCTAGGCTGGAGGGGATGACATTCGATCCGTCCTGGTGGAGGTCCTTGGATATAGGATCCAACCCAAGATAGCAACCCTGCTCTTTAAGTTCCCAGCGAGGGAGGTCGTGACCCAGATAGCTCAGGAACCGACCCGTGAGTCCTCATCTCTCACCACTGGGAGGTAGGAGCCATCTGGTTCTCGATTTGTGCCAAAAAGAGGAGAAGGCTTTCCCAGCCCGAGGTCCTTCCACATGAATTGCATGTTGTGCAGCCTCGTTTGACCCCACACGGCTCAATAAGGGCTTAGAGCAGCTGTTTCTGAGCCACAAAGTACCCCAGATAGCTTCTTTTATTTACTTGTTTGCTTATTTATTTATTTTGAGAGAGATTTTTGCTATAAGGCTCATTGTGCTTGCCAGAGAGACAGAGACAGACAGAAAGTTAGAAATCACCTCCCCCAGGAGGAATGTCCACCCTGCAATCCTTTCTCCATTCTCAAGATTTTGGGCATGCATGCACATGCACTCGGTGTGAGTTTCAAGCCACTGGGTCCGGGACTCAAACTGTGGTTGACCATGTGGGAGTCCCGACCCCTTAACCACTGTGACACTAGCCGGCCCCCCTACTCTTTCTTGGAGTAGGAATGGGAACTTCCCTCTAGTAGGAATGGAACTACCTTCTTTCCCCTCTCCTCCCTCCTGATGGCTAGGGGTTTCTGGCCAACTCCCTGAGTGCCTTGGTAACTGCAAAAACTTCAAAGAGCTGGCTGATCCTACCTGAGGCACATGGCATGGCCTGTGATCATCCGGTCTGAATCATGGCAGCACCCCGGAGCTACAGGTTATTTCTGAGCCTGGAGGAGAAGGGGGCTTTGCTGCTGCTGATTGACATTTCTCAAGCATGGTGGCAACTAGAAGGTGGATTCGGAGCATTTTTCTTTGGCTGATCCTCACCCGTTTCAGTGAGTCTGTACTCGCTGGGTCTCGTCTGTGGCATCGTGTTACACAAAGCACAAAGCCAAAGCGGTTAGGTGAATGTTCAGCAGTGATTCACTGATATGATTGGTAAGTGCCAAGTTTACTTTAGCTCATGAATGAGCTGTTGGATGACTTTCTAACTCACTTCTGAAGCCAACTGGAGACACTGCAACAGAGCAGTTGGGTGTGAGGGTCTACGTAATTGGGGTGCAGTGTATGCACTTGGGACGCAGGTGCACCCCGGCTGAAGCCCTGGTTTCCCCACTTACTACCTGTCCTTCCTCAGTTTCTTCACTGGTAAAACGGGGGATAATAAAGTCTGTCGTGAGGATTATTTAAGGTAGGTGGTGCATGGGAAGACCTAGCTAAGTGTTAGCTTTTTATTGATAATAGTAATCTTTCTTTAAAGGTTGTTCCTTAAGCCTTTGCTTAAGTTGAGGTCATTTGGTATGAGCGGTTCTTTATGCAATGGAATCACCCAGGGAGCTTTTGCAGGTCTAAGCTGAGGCCACACCCAGGCAATGGCATCAGAGCCTCTAGGCCTGGCACACAGCCATCAGTTCTTTGTGAAGCTCCGAGGTCATTCCCAGGAACAGCCGTGGTTGAGAGCCACTGTATACCGTGACTCCCAACGAGTATGGGGTTTGGGAAAAGTAGCTTGCATTTAAATCCTGGCCTTCCTCCTTCTTAACCCACTGACTTCTAAGTCCTAGTTCCTTTTTATCTGTACTAGCAGGGACAAGGAGGACAGTTGCCATTTGCTTGATGGTCCTGCAGAACAAATGGCACGTGTGCAGTTATTCTTGTTTGAACACATAACCGAGCACGTCTCTTTACATCGTTCTATGGTAACAGCCCTACTTGTGTGCTATTCTTGGCTTGTTTTTATATCAGCTTTATCTTAAGTAGACTGTAAGCTCCTTGGGACAAAACCTTAGGTCTTATCATTCTTTCATGCCCATAGTACCTAAGGCATAGGGACTTTAGATTTTTAGAATTGGAATAAACCTTAGAGAGCTCTTCTCATCCACTCCAAGGCATGGAATAAGAGTTGCTGGTTAATTCATGTGCAAATGGTAAGGAATATGACACAGGAACCCATGAATCAGATAACTGCCCAGCTTGAGTTAGAAGTCCCAGCTGTTGCTTTCTTAC